GCCTGCCAGCGGGGCTGCGGCAGCGCCGTGGTCTCCGAGGACACCCAGTCCTCCAGGGCCTGCTCGTCATCAGAGGAGTCTTGGTCGTGGTTGGCACGCTTGCGCTGGGCACGGCGGTGGGACCGCTGCTCCTCCTCTTCCTCCTCCTCCTCTTCCTCCTCCGAGTGCGACCGGTCGAGGGCCCGGTTCTCCTCGTTTATGGAGTAGTGGCCTGTGTCGTCCATGCTGTCAGAGTCCTTCTCTTCCCCCGAGCTCTCCGTGTCCGTGTCCCGGCTCTCCGTGCTGGTGCAGTTGGGCCCCACGTCATCTCCCGTGAGGCTCAGGCTGAGGTCAGAGGCCTCCACCTCAATGCCAGAGGAGGTTTCTCGGCCCTCCTCAGCTGACATCTCCTCTGGGCTGCTGGACAAGCTGCCTGCATGGTGCAGACGACGCCATGAGCCCCCCAGCAAGAGACCCCAAGCACGGGGAGATCGGTCCCCACCAGCACCCTTACCGTTCACTATGTCCGTCTTCCCGTCCATGCCACTTCCTTTGTCCGACATCGCGTTTTCCGGAGCGCCCACCCTGTGTGCGAGAGAGGGAGAGGGCAGAAGCTGAAGCGTCCCTGCCATGGCCAGGCTGCCGAGACGGGGATGCGCTGGCCTGTCCCCACGTCGGTGGAGCCACACGCGCGCCCAAGGCATTGCGGCTGGTCCGGAGAGCACCGCTTCCCAGGGGAAACGCAGTCAGCGTGGAAGGGGCGCACACATGGCTACAGGCTCCGTGACCACGCTCGGTGCACGTGAGTGTGCGTGACAAAAGCTCATCACCTATGGCTGAGGACAGAGCGAACAGTTAACGACCCTCCGTCTCCACTGAGGAACCCACGGCTGGGTAACGAGGCCGCTCGCCACCGTCCCCTGCGCTCCTCTCCAGTTTCTAATTTGCTCAGGCACCGCTGACTTAGCGAGACAGCAGATCTACGACCCATCACGTTGCCTGTCCTCCCATCTCCCACTGCCTGCGCGCGGTCCCCGCTTCGCCTCTCGCAGCAAGACGGGTGCTTCCCGACCGGCGATGCCCGGCCAGGCTCAGGGGAAGGAGGAGGTGTTGACTCCAGCTTGGCAGCAATGGCTGCAGCGAGGCAGCTGCACAACACGGGGAGCTGGCTCGGGGTGGGCAGGGAGGCAGGAGCGGGGCTCGGATCGCAGGCAGAGGAGGAAAGGTGGCTGGGATGGCAGCAAGTCATGGTACCGAGAAACTTCTCGGTGACTGCAGGCAGCCAGTTAAAAGCTGCTCAAGAGGGTTTTTTAACACCAGTGACAGATTTTTAAACACCTTCCCATGCACAAAGTCCTCCTGGCGTCATCGAGGGGCCATTTTCCTCCATGCCATGACCAGGACAGCAGCCCTGGACGATGGGCCTGCCTGCCTGGCCACCCCCAAGAGCAAGTTTTGGCCCTTGGCACCCCCAGGTCCTCTGCTCCTCCTGGGCAGCGGGCAAGAGCAGAGCCAGCCAACAAGGCCAGGAGCTCCCTGGCATTTCCCATTGCTTCAGAAGAGGTTCAACGATTCCTCACGAGCACTTAGAAAACCAAAGGCGAGTGCGTTTTTGGCTCCCAGGTGTTTCTCAGTGGGGAGGCACGGGCTGCCGGAGCAGCAGTGGCCCTGCTGCAGCCGGGGACGAGTCCAAAGCAGCCCCTGCAGG